AAACTCTTACTTACTTCAACAATAAATGATTTTTATATCAAGGTTGTAAAAGAAGACGCTCGCTAACAATAAATTCTGCAGTTTCGTATTTGGTATCAGGTTTCTATTTTTGTTGAGTACGGTTAGAATTATAATTATCTAAAAATATTCAAAAATTCAAAATTCTGTTTTAATTCAGAAAAAAAAATCTGCATCAGAAAAAGAAAATTATATCAGAGTTTGGAATTGTAAATAAAAGAATATCAATATCCAAAAACTGAAATCTCTGAGATATCGAAAACTGGATCTGCGTCAGCTATTTAGTACGATTTGAAACATCTCTTAGACATTCTACAGACATCCAGTGATCCATGTCTTAAACTTATCTATATTAAATATCCAAAATGTTCATATCTAGAACTTAGATATGCCTGGATATCTCTATAATAACCAAATTACCACATCCCCCAGATATCCAAAAATGATATCTCAGAGATGTCTAAAATATCTAACTCATGGACTTAGATGTGTTTAGATATCTGTAAGAAGTCTGGAACATATCCGAATATCCACTGGATATTTGGATAAGTAACAGACGTGTTTGGATATCCCTGGGATAGCGGTGGCTGTGTGGGAAGGACCAATGGCGATCGAAATGGGATGCATGTGGTGCAGAGCAGAACTTTTTATTGCAACACTTAGCACATTTTCCTCATTAGCGTGTTGACAGTCATAGGAGAAAGAAGAACGTTAATTTCTGTTTTGATTTTCTAGTAAATTAAAAACTTTCATGCTAGAAAATTTTATTAAACTCGAAGCTGCATTAAACATAAATTCTAACAGAAAGCGCCGTGGAAATTTTGAAAATTAAATGCGAAAATATCATACTACATTCCCATATAGTTTGTCTAAAATAAGAACTTCTCCAGATTGTCAGGACCAGTGGAGGTAACGATGTATATGACAATTCCAAGTAGGGGTGCGGGATAATTGTTTTGGAATGATTTCGGGTTGGGTCAGCGAGAGAAAGGGAATCTCTTCGCCCTATTGTGTTAGTCCTACAGTGAAGCTACCTTCCCTAAAATGCGCCATTTTTGTTTCTATAGCAAAAGACGGCCTCAGACTTTGCGGAGGGAGGAGTTCTTAGTTTAGACAAACTATACAACTGAGGAAGCAGAAGGGGCGAGAATCAAGACAGTGAACCGGTTATGATCTATTCGAGTGTTGCGACCGCGAATGCCTGTAATTCACGCAATTGGGTATACTATAGCCTACGTCACAGATCGTGTTATTCCTACTAAATTTAACTAGTAAACAGCATTTTCTGCGAACCTGATTTCTAGCAACAAGTAAAAGCATCAAACGAAGTGTCTTGTTTATAAGTCGCTACTCGCCCGGTTGAAATTGTATTAGTCTAGTTCCTTTGGAAATAATTCATATTGTTGTTTTACCGAAGTTTATGAATTTAGTAAACATATTTAAAACTTAGTTTATTAATTAAACTAAAAGGTAAATGTTAGTCCTAGTAAGTGGAAGTAGTTGTGCTTTTTTCATATTATACCCAATTCTGAGCACCTTAAATAACTCACTAATTTTTATTCTCTGGAAGACGATCGGGAGTGATAAATCGTATATTGCGAAAACAATAATTAAAAAGCACCTAAAGTAAGAACTTTCCATGTTTGAACGTGATGAAAATGAAAACGCGCAAATGCTTTTAGTGAAAATAAGACCTTAGTTAAAGCCTTTATTTAAAGCCTATGTTTAAAGGCTATAAGCACAAATTTAATATCTTTGGATTGTTTTATTTCAAAACGAAACTAGCTCAGCAAAATACTGCTCAACTCCTGCTGTTGTCAAATGTATACAAATTTATTTTATTTTTGTTCTGATGAGTGCCTTAAATTTAAATATCCCACCTGTGCAAGAAATGTTCTGTTTCGTACCTCACTATAAAAAATGATAGATGACACAGCTGTCAAAGTAGTGGTTAGGTAATTGAAATAACTTCTTTTATGCATTTAACTTAAAATTAATTTCTTTAAAACAGTTATTAATCTGCTCCATAAAAGGTAGTAGGAATACTGTAACAATTTTTTTTATGTAGGCGGCTTTGTCTTAACTGAAAATACTTTCTTATTCAAAATTATAAATTTTATATTAATTTCAGCTCTCTAGATTGTAAAGTTTTTCATTCAGTCATAATTCGCTTTTTTAGATTTTCCTCTTTAATGGTTTTTTTTTCTTCTCCCCATTAATACATAGATTATGTGCATTGATTTGTAATTAATAATTGTTTTCTTCATATTTACGGTAATATTTAAATTTATGTAAAATATTGCGAAACAGAATGGAGAAACAAAATTAATTTTATAATCAGCTAATTATTTAAATTTTATGTAATTAGTATCTCAACTTAATAATTAGTTACTTTGCATGTTAAAAAATAAATAAGTAGGAGGCAGTTAGTAAGTTGAAATGTTTTGACTAATATTAATATTTAGGTCATTGTATTTTGTGAAATTATATTTTAATTGAGTTAGTTCAGTTTCATGGTATTAACGAAAAATATTTAATGTATTTTGTAATAGTTTTTGTTTTTAGGATATTTAGATTTCAAATAAAAATGGTTGTGTTTATTTTTTTAGATTTCAATTTAAACTTGTTTTTTCTTCTTTCAAGCTATTTCAATAATAAAGATTTTTCCCCCCGTTTTACATTATGTCAGATATTGCATTGTTTTAAACTTCTTGTCGGAAGACTGTAGGGGAAAAAAATAGTTTGTGACTATTCCTTAAGTGTATGTTTAACGATTTTTTTTTTATATTTTTAGATTTCAATTTAAACTTGTTTTTTCTTCTTTCAAGCTATTTCAATAATAAAGATTTTTCCCCCCCATTTTGCATTATGTCAGATATTGCATTGCTTTAAACTTCTTGTCGGAATACTTACGGGGAAAAAAGTAGTTTATGACTATTCCTTATGTGTATGTTTAACAGTTGTTTTTTTTTTGCTGGTAATTTCAGTTCACTTTTTTAACTTTATTATTATTATTTTTTTTTTTTTTGTTCGTGGATGGCAGACTCTACCTGCTAATAATTTTTCATGCAAGAAAGCTATGTTTTCTCCTTAAAGATCACAGATTTATTAAAGGTTGATTTTGTACATTTTTTTAATATTTCATTAAAAAAAAGCAGATTTTTAAATTCATTGATTTTTATTTGTGATAATCACTATATCACTCTTGATTTTTTTAAAAAATATTGATGGTAGTTTATTCAGATGTAACAGAAACATGTTTCCTCCAATACTAAGAAAAAAAAAGAAACTCTTTTTCAAAAAGAAATGTTAACAGGGGTCTGTCTAGGTTTTTCTGAGAAGTACCTATTTTGTGAAAATTTAGACATAATATGTGAAAAATTAAAAATGATATTAAAAAATCAACACAAAAACATTGTAAAAATATAGATTTATCGTTTCTTAAGGATACAAAAATAAAATCTTAAGAAAAAGTACTTTGTGAAACTACCGTTTTTCCTAAAGTTGAATTTGTGAAACTACCGTTTTTCCTAAAATTGAATTTGTGAAGGTACCGCTAAACGGTAGTAAATTCAACGTGGACAGACCCCTGGTTAAATAGTTTTTTAATTTAAAAATGATTTTTAATTGCAATCTGTTGTAATGTAATATTAATTTCAAGGGTTGGCTTATTAAAACTAAATTATTATTATTATTTTTTTTTAATAGGGACTGATTTTTTCCAAACTAAAGTCTTTTTATTAGGTAAATTTTTTATTTGTGTAATTTTTTTCAGTTTGAATATAGCCAAATGAAAAAAAAAGTATTTTCAAATTTTTTATAATTTTTAGTTAAATTGCTAATGGGAATTTGTGTTACTTTAAATAAGCATAAATCTGCAATTTTATTAAGGTTATGAAGAATACCTATAGAAATACTTATGAAAGAAAGATAAATTGAAATGAGCAAATTTAAAATGAAATCCTAAGGTCTCTTAAAAATGCTTAAAATAAAATAGGTCATTACTAATAGATATCTATGAAATGTTTTTTAGTTGTTTAATTACTTTTAATTTGAAGCTTAAAATATTTTTTAACGTTTCGTGTTAAGTAAATAATAAAAATACTGGTTTTAACCTTAAAAAAAAAATGATTTAAACAAAAAGAAAAATCCACTGGTTTTTGGGGTTTTTTTTTGTTTGAAAAAAAATTGTTAATTTGCTTGTTAATTTTCAAGTTATATATAATTTTTTAATAAGTGTAATTTTAAAGGTAACAATCGGGAAGAAAAATAAATTTAATGAATTTCTTAAGAAACTAAAACAACTGTATAAGGGTCCATACTTAATTTGAGGAAAAAATTTGCCTGAGTTCCCTTGACTATCCAGAGGAACAATTAAAAAAATAAAATAATGCCCACAGCTAAGACAATGCGTCTGTAAAAAATATATAAGAATAATATTAGTGGGAGAAAAAAACCAATAAAATTATAAAAGAATGAGAAATTAAAAGTCTTATGCATCAATACAAAATCATTATCATTCCTACTCACTATATGTGATTGTATTTAATATTGTGACATACAGACATAATTATACACCTGTAAATTAAACTCTTAGGTTTCAATAATTTCTAAAATTTTATTAAATTTCAATCTAAATGCTGTTTATCAATACTGCGAACTTTGAAAAAGAATTAAAAAATGTTTCACTTTACTTCAAAAAATATATCTTGATTAAATTTACAATTGTATCCTGAAAGAGTATTTATACACTCACTTAAAATTTTTTTTTTATATACAGTAGAGAACCGATTATCCGGAACGATCGGGACCATCACTATTCCGGATAACTGATTTTTCTGGTTTTCTGAATCACTACAAAAAGCCGTTTTTTCTTATTGTCAAACAACTAAATATATATATATATAATTAGAATAATTTAAAAAAACTCTTACTTCTTTCGACAGTGTAGGGAACTAATGATTATTTCTAAATTGATGGTGAACATCTTTTAAGAAAGAAAGAAGAATTTGGAAATCTTTTGAGGAAATTTTTTTTTTTTAATGGTGGGAAAATTTATTGAATTTCGTTTCGGTTATCTGGTTTTCCGGTATTCTAATTTCAGGATAAGAGGTTCTGTACTGTAATTTCAATATTGCAATAGAAATTAAAAAAATTTTTAAAAGTTATTTATATGAGCAAATAATAATAAAATCAAACATAATAAATTAACTTAAAAAATTAGCATTTATTTTAATAAATTTTTTTTTTTTTTTTTTAAGTATTCTGTAATTTTATATAAATAGTATTTCCCTTGGATTTTTCTTTCTTCAGAACTTAACTCACATGTTGTTTTCTTTTTATTTATTTATTTCTCTTTAGACTAATTTTAATTATTTGTTTAGAATACGTCCACAAATATCTCGGGATATTTTAGATTTGTGTCATGTTTGCACGAAAACTATTCCACATGAGCCTCAAATTTGGATTGGAAATGATAAGTCCTATACCTTTGATCATGTATATGACATGCCAACACCTCAAGATGAAATATTTGACTCTGTTGTCAAGGAACTTGTTGACGGGTAAACATAAGGCTTTTCTTATCATGTTTGTATTGTTCTGTCTGAGATTAGAGGTTGGTAAACAATTACATGATTGTTTTTGTAATTATTTATAATTATTGGCTTTTACTTTTAGGCTAATGATTTTTATAGTTAGCAGAGTAAATTTCTTGGCATTTTAATCTTTTTCCAAGTAATTATTTTACTACAGAATTTGTAATGCTATTTCCTCTAGCACCAAGTTCTCATTAGAATTAACAGCCAAAAAAATATTTTTGAGTAAATAAAAAATAAACTCAAATGAATAAAACACCAAAATGCTTACGACACCAACAGTTTAATAAAAGCTTTTCAGAAAGTCAAGGCAGAAATCTGTCGTGGCAGTTCTTTTTTTATATTTATTTTGATTTCATTACATAATTAAATAATTATTTTTTGGCAAACAAATTCACATATATTCACATACATGGAGTTTTACATTTAGCTTTCTTTGTGTTTCTCATTGCAAATAATTTCTTAAAGTTAGTTTTAAATTCTTAATTGTATGAATTTATAATTATATTGAATATTTTGTGAAAACTTTCTATGTAATTCTTAACTCTAATTTTCAGTATCCCGTAACTAATATTAAGTTAAGTGACTTCCAGATATCGGATGTCAGCATGAGCTTTATTCTTAATTTCTTTGTTTTGTTCAAAATACTGCATTAGTTGAAAAATGGTTCTTAGCTTGTGGTCAACCAAAGGAGTTTTAATTACTGAAACAAAATTCGGTTCACCTTTAAAAAACTTTATATTTGAAAATGAATTGGATGACCTATAATTTGAATAAGAAATATACTAAAATAAAAATTGGAACTCTGTGTATTTTGTTTCATAATCATTGCAAAATGGTAAAAACACAGGTTGAAATTTTAAAAATTTTCAGAGAGTTTATAACACACAAATTAAATGAATATCAACTAAAATTATCTGCAAATTAATGTTATGAATGTACCAAAAAGTATCTGCGAAAGTGTACTGTTTAAAAAAAAAAAATTCCTTGAAATAAAGGATAGTTTGTCAGATGCTGGAATTAAAGTATTTGTTCCAAAACTGCTATTTTAGTTTTTTAAATTTTCCAAACGGCTCATGAACATTTAGATATCTTTTTGAAATTTGTGTTTTAGAAAAATATTTATTTGAATTTAAAGTACAAATTGTATAATTAATAAAGAAACATAATGGCTGTTTCATATTAAACTGCATACTATTATTTTCTGATGACTTAAATTATTACTATTCTTTTTTTTATTAGCTGTTTTGATGGTTACAATGCTACAGTTTTGGCATACGGACAGGTAAGTGTTTTCAGCATTCTATTATTGATTACTGCTGACCAGTCTCGATTTATTGTCCCCCCATCTTTCGTTTTCTCGAATGTATCATCTTGTTTTAATGATTCCATAACAAATGCTGTTCTTCTTGTGTTAATAATACTAATTTTGACCGGTTTTGTAACTAGCAGATTTCCAAGTTTATCGTTCAATAATTCTACTGCCATTTAAAAAAAAAAAAAAAAGAAGACGAGAAGTTATATTGTAAAAAAACAATTACTCTTGATGTTAATGATGAAGCAGAAAATAGGATTTTCGAACATTTTGGAAAAAATTCTTCAACCTTCATGTTTGATGTGTATGCGTCAGTAGATGAAAATATTGAAACTTGTGTTGTTTTCAGCTCAGAATAAAATGGTTGCAGAAGCTGAAAAAGTGTAAAATAATACTGGGAGGTTTCTGCTATCGGGCTCATTATAGAGTACATAGTTTCTAATCATCTTTATACAGTGGAATCCTGATTTTATGTTAAAAGATACATGCAGAGCCTGACTATGGCAGGGGCATGTGGGGCAGTTGCCCCAAGCCCCCATATTAGGGGGAGCCTCCGAATACAATAAAGAATTTATTTTATGTTTAATTCTTTATTATACTTTTTTGAACAAAATATCAGTACAGTGTAAAATTCATAAGCTTTATGTTAGCTTCTTCATTAATCTATCATATGGTCGCAAGAAATCTATATTTTGTAAATCCATGGCTTTTTAGGGTGGAATTCAGCTAAATTTTTGCAATTACGATGAACAAATTTGGCCAATGAAAAGCCTGTATTTTTATACATCCCTAAATTTATATACCTTCATAAAGTTTGGTTCTTCATTACTGAATTAGTGAAGCAGAGAGGGCCCCAAAAGAAGTTTTTGCCCCGGGACCTGAACGTATGAAGCGAGTTGAACTACTCGAAAACTCTTACGCAATGCACGACTAGAAAAATGTGTAATGTTTACCTATTTTGTGTAATCTATTATGTGTAATCTTAACCTATTTTTAGATATATCCCCCTCAATATTTACTATTGTTTGCAAAACAAGAGTTTTTATGCTTTTAAACGATTGATCAAGTATGGGTACATCCGGTGATATTTTTTGCTCATCTTCTTTGTTTTCATCACTGTCATCAGGAACAGGCATTAAATCATATGTCGAAGGAATTGAAAAATTTTCAGTCTGTATTCACATCATCAATTTCAGTAGATCTTCAAACATGATATTTTATTCCGAAAGACGTATTTTCCTGTTGCATATTGAGAAGCATTTAACCCAATTTTAACGCATTTTAGTCAATACCTTCAAAATCAAAATCAGTTCTCCGAGAATATTTATTTTTGCTTTAGAAGCATCTTGCAGATCAGCTGAATCAAGAAAAAGAAATGATTACCTTACTAACCTTACTAGCTGTTTAGTGTAACATTTTATAAATGATTGAATAAATGCTATAAATGATTGGATAATTTCGGTAGCGCTTCGCTCTGTCGTGCCACAGGTCCCAGGTTCGATCCTTGGGCCGGGCAAGGTTGACTCAGCCTTTCATCCCTTCAGTGGGTCGATAAATGAGTACCAAGCATGCTTGGGAACTAAACCAGGGGTCTGTCTAGGTTTTTCTGAAAGGTACCTATTTTGTGAAAATTTAGACATAATTTGTGAAAAATTAAGAATTATATTGCAAAATCAATACAAAAACATGGTAAAAATATAGATTTATCGTTTCTTAAAGGATACAAAAATAAAATTTTAAGAAAAAGTATTTTGTGATACTACCGTTTTTTCTAAAGTTGAATTTGTGAAACTACCGTTTCACCTAAAATTGAATTTTTGAAGGTACAGCTAAACGGTAGTAAATTCGGCCTGGACAGACCCCTGTAAACACTGGGGGTTCCGCGTTCGGCTGACCACCTGACCGGAATATCTGCTCCTGCACCCCAGAGCCCAAGGTCAAGAAAACTGAGATGGGCACAGTAGGCCTTTGGACCTCTATGGGCTGTCGCGCCACTGAGTTTTAAGATTGGATAATTTCAAGATTCAAAGGTTAAAGTTTGCTGGAAAAATTTCCACTCTCTAATTTTAAAATTTAAGCTCCAGTACTTTCTTTAACCACTGTCCACTCCTCATCCCTTCTGATTTTGATGACTAATGGGGGAACTCCCCTCTCACAGACAAAAAGATAAGATAGAATCGAAAGTGTGCCAGAAAAGCTACAAACAGCTAATAAACAAGTCTCGTTAGAAAAATAAAATAAAAAAAGAAAAAATTTATGCGAAAATAATGCATAAACTTGATTTGTTAGAAAAACGTACGATGCAGGATTTTCTAAAAAAAAAAGGGTAATGTAAAATCTCCTATACATAATCACTATAGGCAATTTTTATGAAAATTATCTTTAACAGTACACCAGAAAATTATGTAGGAAGCGGGATAATGCACGAAATAGACAACATAAAACCAGAGTTCTACTGTATAATGTTTGATGGTTCAAAAGTTATATTGCCTGATACGCAAAATATTTCAATTTAACTTATATTTTTTATCTTTTCATGCCTGGTTGGGTATGTAAATATTTAAACAGAAGTACACACATAATAAAGCTTAATTAGTAAAATTAGGACTTATAATTTATTTATTTTTATCATGCCTTAACTTTGTATTTTTAAGTTTTAATCTTATTTAAGCATAGTTTTAGATTAATTTTCAAATTGAGATGATCGTTCATTATGTTATCATTAAAACATTATCAAAATGTTCTTACATAAAATTATAATAACTGTATATTTTATTAATAAAATGATATTAATTTTAAAAAAAAATTGTAACTGTCTCATAATTGTCTTTTTTTATGTCACATAAACAGATATGCATAATATATACCAACGCTCGAAAAATTTGACATTATCACAAAAATTTTTATAACATTACTCAAAACTAAAAGAAAAGGAATAAGCCTTCAAAATTGTATTTGACTTTCAGACATAGACAATTGAACAGACAGCAGTGATTTCTACAAAAATATTTATTAAATGCTTGCATTGAAATGTTTTTGAATGATTTAGGTTTTAGATGCACAAGGAAAGCCAAGTAAGACATGAAATAGAGTAAGTCAACTAGGTTTATAACATCAAAAAGCTGCTAAATTTAAAGAAATATATGTTGATATGTACAATAATCAATATAGAGTTTTAAAGCAATTAAAAACTTAGTGATTTTCGAATAAATTTCATCAAAAATAGATCGTGACGAAATGGCTGAAATTTACTACACATGTCAATAAATCGCTTGTAGAAGGTATTTTAATTAAGAGTTTTGTTTGCAGAAAGTTTTTATTTTCATCTTAGTCCGTACATGAGTGAAATCTGTGTAAATTTATTTACTTAATTTTAGTTTTAAAATATGATAATAATTCAAAAAATGCTTCTGGGTTATTTTTTAAAATTCATAAGTAATGAATTGAGACATTTTGAATGGAAGCACATTGTGAAATTGTATTTTAATGTTATATTTTCTTGATATTGATTATATATATTGATATAAATATTATATTGATATAAATATATATAGATTATTATACTGATATAAATAATGACTAAACTTTGTGTTAAATTTGTACTTTTAGTAACTTTGATTTTTTTTTATTTGAATTTTTTTTAATAATTTCTTTCTAACAGACAGGATCTGGAAAAACATATACTATGGGTACTGGTTTTGACAACAGCTTTAATCTCGATGAAAGAGGCATTATTCCGCGAGCTGTTGAGCACTTATTTAAGACAATCAGTGATATACAAGAAAAGGAAAAAGAAAAAGGATGCACACCACCTGAATTCAATGTTCATGCACAGTTTATGGAAGTTAGTATAAAACGACAACTTTTCATCAAAGATAATTTTTTTCTCCCAAATATATACCATATATTTTTTCAATAAAAATATTCAGTCATTTTTTTTTAATATAATTTTTTATGCAATTTTTTTATAAATTTTTTTTCTAGGAATTGTTATTTTACTCTTATCTGTGTAATTTTTTTTTATTATCAAGTTTTGGAAAATATCACATTATTTTATCGACATTAAAATGTTATTAATGTAAAAAACTTCATAAACATCAATTCTTAAACTTTTGCATTAACTACCGTATATACACATCACTTAACATTTCTTGTACATCATTATTTTTTATTTTTATTTTATATTTTTATAAATTTAATCTTTCAGTTTGCCTTCTTATAAGTGTCATGTAATAATTAATAATAATAATAATTAATAATAATAATAATAATAATTAATAATAATAATAATAATAATTAATAATAATAGTAATTAATAATAATAATAATTAATAATAATAATAATTAATAATAATAATAATTAATAATAATTAATAATAATAATAATTAATAATAATAATCTAAGTAATAATTAATAATTAGAGCAATTAATGTATTTAAGGTAAAATATTTTATTTTTTCTTTTGTAATCTATATTTTTCATTCTAATATTTTACTATTAATTATTAACTTTATTATAATATTTTTCCCTTGTCAAACAAATGAATCTCTGCAAAAAATTGACATTTTAGAAAGAAGTTTGTTAAAATGTATAAAAGCTTAATAATTCTACACTCTACTGAAACAAATTAGCAGATAAATGTTTGTTCTCAAAATGTTCTTAGTATGGAAATTTGCTATATTGTATTTTGATGCTCAAAATTGACTTACTCGAGCAGATTCATTCACAGAAAATACTATATATTGTTTTCTTTCTTATATATCAGCAAATCAAATTCTTCATTAAGAGAAGTGTAGGCAAAAAACCAGTGTAAGGTAGTGGTGTAGATAAAATCTGGATCTGATTTGTGAATTTAGTAATGTTAATTATATTTTTCTTAATATTAACTATTCAGTGTATAAATATAAATTATTTTTCTCAGTAATGAGAAAAATAATCTATATTAATATTTGATGTATTTGTTTAAGAAATAAAAATAAATTTCAAATCTTTGAAAAATTTTTTTAGCTGTACAATGAAGAAGTTATTGATCTATTAGATACTGCTAGAGAATTGGATAATAAAGTACGTATTCTGATCTGTTTGATTTGTTTCAATTTGTTAATTATTATCATTAATTTTATTTTTTAGTGAAGTATTTTTTTAAAACTAATTTTTGTATCTTTTATTTCTTATTTCATGAGTTAATTCAAACACCAATAAAACTTGACAAATTTCAGTTAATCATTAAATAAAGATGTGGCAGCATTTGAGGTGCTTCTTTATTAAAAAAAAAAAAAAAAATATTCAAAAGTACTAAGTGTTGACGATGGTGTTGGTACAAATCAAAAAAGATGAAAGCACTAACTGTAAATTAAAATAAATTTCCAAATTTTCTTTTAAACATGAATTAATTTTCCTTTTAGTTCTATTTTCCATTCTTAGTATATGTCGCAGTATTATCCAAAAAATTTATTTTACAGAATAATTTCATTCATTTAAATTTAAAATGAAAAAAATTTAAAAGCAATTTAATTTGTGCTGAATCATTATTGAACTAAACATGCTCCAAGGACAGAATTACAAATGTTTTGTGGGTTTTGTCAAAAATAAGCAACTCTCACTGGTTTAACTATTACAATTTTTTAAAAAGGAGAAATAATTTTATATTGCAAAATAAAATTGAAAAATAGTTAAATATCAAATTATATTTAAATAACAAATTATAGTTAAATAACAAATTATAGTTAAATAACAAATTATAGTTAAATATCAAATTATGTTTCAATATTTACATAATGAAATAAAAAACAATTATTAACAATGTATAAAATTATCGTATAATCATTCTGCAAGGGCAATAAAATAAATTATTCTACAACTTATGTTTCAGCTTAGATCACTTTCTGCTTAAAGGAATACATCATACTTATTTGTTTTTCCCTGTGTCATTAAATGTTTCTGATTTTTTTGTTGTTGTTTCTAAATAGTTGGTTGTGTTCTTCCAAAGCTAAGCTGTTAATCATAATGTTTTCATAAAAATTTAGATATTAAGGGTTTAACTTTTTCATTCTTTGCGGCATTATAGCTCATTATATTTCATCAGTGATGCAGCACACTTTGAATTGACCTTATTGAGGGTTTTTTTGTTATCACCTCAAGTCACCTAAGTGGTTGACCTTCAAGGTTGGCATGGTTTAAGCCAGTTGGTTTAAATTGTGGTTTAAGCCATGTTTTTTTCTCCAAAAAACTGGTTGATTTTTGGGAAAAAACCAAGAAATATTTTTTGGTTTTTTGCCAACCCTGCCTCTAATACTATTAGCTGACACAGAATTTGTGAACTTGACTTTTTATTGAGTGCCATTTCATTTTGTCTAAATAGTTGTCCTAACCATCATATTCTGTAGCTTTTTATGATATCCATAATATCAGTTTGACTATATAACCAGTAAATTTTATAACTGAACTTTGAGTAGTAGTCAATTCTCACAAATTCCGCCAAATATTTTTAAAGAGTATTTTTACTTACTCTTAAACTCTTATTTAAGAACTTATGTCTTCACATGTTAGAAACATAATTTTGGGATCAAGGAGTGGTGTGTAAATATTAAGGAAATGAAATTGAAAGTTTTTAACTTTTCAAGTATTGAACCACTGGGTAAAATAGTATAGAAATTTTCCTGCTAGGCATTATTTTCCCATTTAATAATACGGAAAAACTGGTTTTTTATTGCAGAAAAGCCTGCATCTAAAAGTTTGAAATAAGCTGTAACTAAATGGTTAAAAAACTAACTGGAATATGCTTATTATTTTTTTTAGTTTTGGAAAGCTTATAATTCAGATTTGATTTATGGGTCAAAGTTTGGATCTGTTCAGCCTGGCAGCAGAAACCTTGCCACAGGGCGATGAACACAGCTAATTATTGTTTTGATTGCAGATTAGTTTTAACGTTAAATAATAGTTTTTTTTTCTTCAAGAAATTCCTTGTCTAAAATGTTTCAAGATACAAAATTTGAATTTTACCTAAAAAGGTGGCTGTGTATATATTTATGTGCTCTTGTTCACGTGAATAAAAAAAAACATGATATGATACAAATTTAGTTTTCATACTTAATAAACTCCAGCAGTACCAAAACAAGTTTAACTTTTAGCAATAGTAGTTGAACAAAGAGTTTTTCTATTCTCAGAAAAAGTCTACTAATACTGTGTTAAATAAAATGAACAGCATATAGCATCATAAATAAATTATTTGATTTGATTTATCGGTAGATTTCTTTCTATTAAAGTCAAAAATTCTTGGAATTAGATGTTTTCATGATATTTTGGTTTTTAATTGATTTTTTTGATATACGTTGATTTTTTAAATTTTTAGTTTAGTGAATAAATTTTAAGATATCTTTAGGCATTTTAATTACTTTAAATTACAATTAAATCTCCAAGTGTTATTAAATTGAATTTTTGATGCGAAAAAGAAGAAAACTTACACATTATATACAGTAAAACTTATACAGTACAGATCCTCTTATCCGGAAATCAGAAAACCGGAACGAAATTCGATAAATTTTCCTGCCATTTTTAAAAAAAATTTTTTTTTTCCTCATAAGATTTTAGGATTTTTCTTTATTTTTTAAAAGATGTTTACCTTACCATCATTTTAGAAATAATCATTAGTGTATTACTTTATCGCTTTTTCTTCTTTTAAGATTATTTCTCAAATTTTTTTTTTTTAGTTTGGTTTGACAATAAAAAAACGGCTTTTTGTAGCGATTCAGAAAACCGGAAAAATCAGTTATCCGGAATAGCGATGGTCCCGATCGTTCCGTATAATCGGTTCCCTACTGTACTAAAATGATAATGCTACAATAAATTTGTATTAATCATAATAATAGCTATTTAAATTAAGACAACGCGTAAAAGGTGCAAATAATGTCACACGATGAGGCATCATCCTAAATGTCAGAACATCAACACAGAAGAAATTTCAAACAATTTGCAACAAGGAAGAAAAGATTGACCAATAGGGTGCAGAAATAAGATAAAACAAGATGGTCAAAAACTGTTGGTAGATAAGAAGAAAGGCGTACCAGTGTGGTGTAAAAATCCTAAATGTAGAAAATAAAGTAAAATAAATTTCTAAACATTTGGGGGAAAATGAAATATTAGAAAAAAGTCTGCTAAATCACTAAACTTTTACTGGAGAATCATTAATATAGTAAAAGCTTACTAAATCATTTAAAATTTTTGAAATGTAGTATGATTCGCAGAAATATAAGTCAAAATCTGAGGAGAGATGTTTAATGATTATAACAGAAAACTCAAACTTATGACTAGGAGTAGAGAGCAGTGTGTGGCACTTGGTATCTTGATTTTGAACATTTCTTTCCTCTGTTTTAAATAAAAGATTAAGGATGCATTTGGCTTCTTTAATTGGTTTTACAAGACCAGGGCTGATTGTGCTCCGGAAAAAATCCGGATTTCCGGATTTTTCTCTAACAGTGATTCGGAAGTTTCCGGAGATTGAAGGTCCAAACGTTTAAAAAAATCATTGATCACAGAAGTTTCCGGAAATTGAATTTTCAACGGTAGAACTTAAAAACACAATTTATTCGATTTGTTTGTAAGGGAGAGCCAGAGAGATACTTTATAAGCTTACATTCATGATTAATATTCATGTTTTATCAGTAAATAGTTGTTCTAATCATAAACTCAAGAAAGAAAGACATATTTGTAAATTTTAATTACTTCTCCAGGTTATCATAGGTATGTGTAAAATTTTAAATATATTTTAAATAAACTAAGAAATATTGAGAAAAATTAAAAATACCTGGTTTAAATTTTTTTCTAATTTTTGAATTTAAACTTTTTTTTTTTTAACTCAAGAAATTTTCCGGAATTTTGACTTGGGCTCACAATCACCCCTGCAAGACTACAATAGCAAAAAGTTTTTCTTTGTAATTCCTTGTAATTATTATTTTTTTAAATTCTTCTACATCTATGTATTTCTCTCTTTCATTCTGTCTTTTGACAAGAATATGTTCATTTTAGTACTGAAATGGTCATATGCATAACATTTTTTATATTATTTATAACTTTGTTTACACTCCACTTAAAATTAACATCTCTTTATTTGAATTGTAATAGCGTTGAAATCATTGGCTCAAATCATTATTGAAAACTAGATGTAAAATCGATCAGAAATTAGGTAACACTAGCGCTATCTTAAGAATTACTTGTAACTTGTATTGATTAAGAAACTCTTGGGCCTCTATGAGGAAAAGTAATAGATTCTAATGGTAAATAGATGGACAGTAGAGGAAATAAATGAATAGAAAACGAATGTTTGAATAATATTTTTCAAAATTTATTAAATCACTTTTTGACTGAGAAATCTATTGCTTTAATAGTCTGCTCACTAGAGACTTTAATCATTAGAGGAAAAAAATGTATTCTGTCATTAATTGTTCCAAACTATTATTTTGATCAAATTGAGTGCACATGCATACATTCAGAAATAAGTGATTTTTTGTTATATGTGTGGCAATATGTTGGGAAAAAAAATATTTATTATTAAGCTTTTATATTTATTTAGTATTTTAGAGTATTTAAATTCCCTATATTCTCCTGCTTTAATTATTAATTATATGACTTTCTGTTTTTGATTAATTAAAATAAAAATCATATTATATTATGAGTCATAGTATGTTTTTTTGTGAATATTTTTATTCCTTTAGACGAAAAGAACTCATGTTCGTATACATGAAGATGCTGATGGCAAAATTTATACCCATGGTGTAATTGCTCAGTGTGTTACAAATGTACAAGAGGTAAGTTAATTTATAAATTCATACCAATTTTTTTACTTACCGATTCAGTTGAATTAAGGACCCTTACCAATTGAGGACCCAAAGTTTTTAAAAACATAAGCTTTTGCAAATATTAAATTGTTTTGTTTATATTTCCATTCATCATTTTTAATTGATAAATTTATATATAATTATTACAAAATATATGTTCATGCATTATGTTGTCATTTATTTTTATAAGTTCTTAATAGCGTGCTATTTTTATGTTATCCAACTGATACTGTTTAATCAGAAACAATATTAACAATTATTTAAAAGGTTTTTTATTTGTATCTGTAAAAACCCAAAATAATAAAAAATGTTTTTTTTTTTAAACTTTTTGTATCATCTTGATAATACAAAAATTAATTTAAAGCTTTCTGAGTGAGAGTTTTTCTTTGTTTAATAAATATTTCAGAAAGCATTTGTACCAAAACTCTTTTTGGGATTTAAAATTAAAATAACTATAAAATATAATAAAATATTTGAATTAAAAATAAAAATAATGGTTATAAAAGTATTGGTGTGTTATTTTCATACATTTAAGTGTAAAGTTATTTTTTAGAATGAGTTGAAAAACATCACATCATCATTATATGATATTAAATATTAAACTTTATTCATTTGATTCCTTTCAATTGTAATGATAGAAAAGTATACAAAAATTTAATTTTAACTTCATTTTACTTTGTGTAAATTTTTAAGATTTTTGTAGTTGTTAAAATTTTTGTATATTAGAATCTAGAAGATTTAAATGTCTTAAAGATTCACCTGTATTGTTAGTGCTATGCTAGTTTTTTTCTAAGAAGAACAATATGTTTCCCAGAACATGTCATAACTTTATTTTTGCATCCAATTGATGATTTTTAGTGCATTTGACGCAATATAGAGCATTAGCAGAGTCACTGTTTAGAGAATGTAATATAATAATGCAACAAAATTATTAGTGTTGTTTATGCAGCTGATTAAAAAATTTAAAAATGAGAAAGGTGATTTAGGTCAAATAATCTTGTAATTTTAATCCTTTAAAAACAGATATTAAATAATCAAGATGGAAGCTAATAAACCTTTAAATTTTTTTCAATTGACAATGTATAATTGATTATATTCAATTTGAAAAGTTTTAACATCTTTTAGTGAGAAAAAATTAAAATACCCATGGTTAAAATATAAATGTTTATAAATTCAAACTAAAATATATCTGAGGTTTGATTAAATTTATTTAAGCTTTAAGATGAAAAATGTGATCACTAAATGTCAAGAAATCGTTGAGAATAAAATTTATCAGATCATTAACTGAAAAGTTTGTTAAATTATTTATTATTAAAGAAACTTTACTTTCTAGTTTTAACTATTATAATAAATATAAGTCTTCATGAGGTGTTTTATTTAAGTTACTTACCTATTTCAGGCTCTACATTGTCTAAAAATTGGTTCATTATCCAGAACAACTGCAAGTACAGGCATGAACACTCAGTCTTCCAGGTCACATGCTATATTTACTCTTCACATTAAACAACAGAGAATGACTAAATCTGGCAGGGTAAGTTGAATTTATTAATTCAAAGTAAAATTGGTGTTGTAAAATATAGTTGTAGTAGTATAATATATAGTTGTCGTAATCATTGGTGTTCTATATTACTAATTTTCTTAGTAACTAATTTTATAGTATAACTAATGATAATTTTATAGTATAACTAATTTTCTTAGTTATAAGTAGGTTTATCCTATCCTTAGATGCAATATTAATCCTACGAGTGATATGCATTCTGAGCAAAATTGTAAAGAAGTTTCCTTGCTTCATACATCTTTTTAACCGTACAAAAAACAGTTTTTTATTGTAGGAAATCCACCAACTTTAAGTTTGGTTAAAGCTGGAACTAAGACTCTGGTTATAAAATTTGTTAGAAAGTGAGAAAACTATTTACAGTAATTTCGCAGGGAATAGCCACCCTGGTATATATGCTGCACTTGTAAAATTTGATAAAGAGTGAAAACTTTTTCATCATAAAGGCCACACCATCATATTTGATGGTGCGGCTTACAAAATATGATCTCCCACAAAATTTTACTGCCTGAACAATTGCAAACACATCTCTTTCAAATAACAAGTTCAATACAAAATTAATGACTAAAAGTTTAAAAATCATTGAAATAATTATTAAATATACGATAAATTAATATATGCAATCTTACTTAAGATCAGAAATTATGTATTTCGATAATTTTCATCATAACTTTTCAAATGTATGCAAAATTGTGCTGTGTACAATTATGCACAACTCAAATGCAACATGATCGCAAGCACATTACATTAATAAATCAGGGATGAGATTTTTCCGCTTTTTAGCGGATTTCCGCTTTTTTCACTTTTATCTCTTAAATTTCAGCTTTTTTTTATCAAAAATTCAGATTTTCAAAAAATTTCATTTTTCTTTTATAAGTATTCCGCTTTTTCAGAATATTCACCGATTTTCAAAGAGAAACAGAAAATTCAAACTACATAGCTACCAATCCTTTCTCATTTTTACTCTAATTTTACCTATTTTTTCCCCTTTTACACGCAGCAGATAAGATTTTCCGAATTTTTTACCCGCCCTCCAGATAGATCCGATTTTGGTAGTTCAAACGACGCTGCTTCTGACTAGCCTTTTAGAGGTCCCAAGCCTGGAATCTGCTAATATCTCGATTCTTATTCACACAATTTTAATATCAAATATAGCTTTTCATATTTGCGTGTTGCGATTCTTATTCACGCGATTTGAATATTGTACGTTGCGATTCTCGTTTACGAGATTTGAAAATCCGATATTGTGATTCGTATTTGCGTCTTCTTAAAAACCTATGTAGTGATTCGTATTCACGCAAGTTTAAAATTCAATGTGTTGATTTGCATATGTGGTTTATAATATTAAACATTGATTTTCGTATTTATACGTGATTTTAAAATAAGGCATTGGGATTCGCATTCTAAAAGTTATGCATCGTAATTCTTATTTATGCAATCTAAAAATTACGCATCATGATTCGTATTTACGCGATCTAAAAATTATGAATCGTGATTTGTATTTACCCGTTTTAAAAGTTCTATATCCCAGTTTGTATTTTCTCATTTTAAAAAACGTATATCTAGTTTCATATTCATGTGATTTCGAAATCCATAATTGTTATTCATATTCACTCAATTTTAAGAACAACTATCGCGATTCTTGTAAGAAGTAAATTTTTTTAAAAATTAGTTACTGTAAAGGTGACTGTTTTTCTAACGACGATTATTAGTATATGTAAGTGTTACAACATCAGAGAAACTGGAAGGGAATATATTCGAAACTTACATTCTATGCTTGCTAAGAAGAAAAAATAGGATTTGTCACAAGATGTTTGAAGATGGACTAACGACTAAATATAGCAAACATAAAAGATATAGCAAACAAAAGCAATCACTTGAAAAGGGATTTAATTAAAAAAAAATTTGGGGGAAAAAGAGTTAATTTACTCATCATCAAAATTTTATTTATAATTGCTGTTATTTATGCTATAAAATGCAAAATTCTTATC